CACAATTTCCTTTTTATTCAGTCCAGGACCTCTGCCCAAGGAATAGTGAGGCTCATAGTTAAGGTAGACCTTCCTATTTCAGCTAACCTAATCTAGGTAGATGCTCACAGGTCTGCCCAGAGGATAACCTAACATGTATAACCCCTGAGAGGCATGAGGTGAGGCCCACATCCTAGTTGATTCTAGACCCTACGAAGTATCACACCCTACTTCCTTAAGTTGCTTCTTCTCAGGTGCTTTGTCACAGAATGAGAAAAATAACAAATATGGTGATATTCAACCAAGACTTGAAGGAGAAGGAGAAGCACCCACATGGATTAATCTGTATTGTAACATTAGCATACTGGGAGCTAAGGCAGATGACTACAAGTTTGGAGCCAGTCTGGGCTACTGACTCAAAATAAGCATTTTCTAAGCAGAATATAATCATGTGTAATGGTTCTGACATGCTGCTAGGATGGCAAGAAGGCCAGAATGGCTAGAGTGGAGTAACTCATAGCACAAAGGAAAGGCAACCCAGGATTTTTAAATTTATTTACTTATTTTTATTACATATACAGTATTCTTTCTGCATGTATGCCTGCACACCAGAAGAGGGTACCATATCTCATTACAGGTGGGTGTGAACTACCATGTGGTTGCTGGGAATTGAACTCAGGTCCTCAGGAAGACCAGTCAGTGCTCTTAACCTCTAAGCCATCTCTCCAGCTAATCCCAGGATTTTAAGGACTGGAAAGCAAAGTACAGTGAAAATTCTGAATAACAACACACCATGATCTTACTACTTTGGGCTCCAGAGGACAACTGACTGTAGGAGGACAGTGAAAAGTCCACTGTAATTACTCAGGGCAAATGATGACCTGGATGCTACCAGTAGAGACGTAAGTAGTTGGACTCAGGATGTACTTTAAAGCAGAGACAACGAGAGTCACTGGTGGATTGATTGTAGAATAGGAAAGAAGGTAAAATTACAATGATGTCAAATCAGTGGCCCTTAGTGAACTTTGTTTCTGGTATTAATGCCATTCTCCAGTTCCTTTGTTTTTAACCTGGGCTGCCCCAGGTAACTTGATGTAAATGATGTGAATGTAACAAAAGTGATGCTGGGCCAGTCTATACCCAAACCTTAGTCCTAAGCAACTTCTGCTTTTGTACTCTTGAAAGTCTTGTGATCTTTCAAGTAGGTGACATGGACAGATCACAAAGAGGAGTCTTGAGCATGCAGGAAGAATGAAACACTGGTATGCTAGGAGTGTTCAGCCTCTAGGCCACCCTCCAACTGAGCACAGCACACCAGGGACGGCCAGCAACAACAGCAGAAAAGACACAGTGGGACACTAAGCTCAGTTACAGAACTATTTAAAGCTATGGTGACTTATTCAGTCATGGGACTGTCAAACAGATGGCCCAAGAGTTTCAGCCCAAGTACCTAGAGGAGGAAATCAACATTAACTAGAGAGGAGAGCATGGCTAAAAGGTTTGGGGAAAACTTAGCACCTTATCACTTCTACATGAGGCAGATGGATGCCAAGTTTTTCTTAATAAATCCTCTTTTCTCTTAAGTACTGATGGCTCTTCCAAGATTCAAAGAGGCCACTTGAAGAGTTACTCTTCGGGTGCTGATGTAACAGCAAAAGTTAGAGGGGTTATTTCAGTTTTTTCTTCCAACTTGTGAGACTGTTAATCAGAGAAGCCCTCAAAGCCATGCATGGTAGGATCTCTCCCCTGTCCCTGGTTTTGCCTGCTGTGGTTTTAGAACTTTGATAAAAGCATCATGTAAAGGAGAAACCACTGAGCTCACGTTCCCTCCACATTTTCCACAACTAGTCATGGTAAACCACCTAGGGCTTGGCTGATGGGCTTCTGGAGGGTGAGTGGGCTCCTTGGAGAAAAGCCCTGGCCAATGTTAGATTTAATTCTTCCTTTGGACAGCCACTTGTGGGAAAATAAACACCGCCTGGTCAGTTTGGTCAGTCTCTCTGATCATAGACATCTGGGCTAATACCTCGCAGAACCTGAACTCAAACTATGTTGAGGAAAGGTTGTACATTCTTAGAAGTTCTTCATGTACCAGAGCAAATGTGAACTTAAAAGGAATAATTGTATGCTGCCAATATGCCATTCACTCTCACTAATAGCCCACGACATCCGCCTAACCATAGGCTTTCCCTCTTAGCAGGATTCTATAAAATGTTTATAATATACACAATGGTTTACTTCTTCTGGGCTCAATCTTCTCTTGTGCCAGTGTTCCTAGAAAGGAAGAACAGCTATCATCTAGATTGCCTTTGAGGTCTTCTATCCAAGAATTAAACACAACAACTTTTTACAAAACCCCCTGGCAGGTCTCCCTATGTAGCTTTGGCTGAACTTAAACTCATGATCCTCCTGACTTAGCCTCTCACATTGTGATAGCTGAGCTTATGGGCATGTGCTACCATACCCAGCTTGAAAGATGCCACCTGGAAATGAGCTTCATCTGAGGTTGGTATTGCACAGAGATGTGTTCATAGCATAGTACTCTGCAACTAGTTAGGGCTCTAAGGTCCCTTAAAGTAATATGTGCCTTTGGGTAAACTTTCCTCCAACATCTGTTAAGACAATTCTAGAGCTGTTCTAATATGCATACCAGACCTTGTGGAAGTCCTTTTTGGGGAACACTGAAAAAGAGTCGTCTAAAGACAAAGACAATGGTCACCCTGAGATGCCACATTTAGGGCTAAGGAGGCTGAATCTCTTATTGTCTACACCTAGGTCAATTGTGGGTGTCTGTGTGGATTACCATCTACTGTAAACGGAAGCTTCTCTGATGAGGGCCGGGTTGTACTAGTCTATGAGGAAACAGTAAGTCATCAGGAGTCAGTTTAATACTATGTCCATTTAGTTTTAGTGCATTTTTAAAATATATATTTCTAGGATTAAAAAAACTATCAGAAAAATTCAAGAATACATTAAAAATGTATCCACTGTGATCAAGTCTACTTCATCCCAGAGATGAAGGGATGATTCAATATTTGTAAATTGAACATTGTATTGAGGTTAAATAAACCTGAAACTGTACCTGAACCTGAATAAACAACCCACTGTATAAATAGACTAAAGAATAGAACACAGAAGACCATTTCATCAGCTGCATAAAAGGTCTTCAACAAAATTCAACTTCATTCAATAGCAAAGGTTCTGAGAAAATAGGAATGCAGGGGACATATCTCAACATAATATAAGTTATACACAGAAAGCCCACAGCCAATATCATCCTAAATGAAGAAAAATTCAAAGTATTTTCATTAAAATCAGAAACAAGACAGGATATCCTTTCATCTACTGTGTCAAAAGAACAACCATGTTATAGGGATTGTGAACAGCCCAAGAAGATGCCCTCATATATGTAAACCAAAATCAATTCCAAAGGGACTTTCTTATGCATACTGCAGATACAATTCCAACAGGCAGATTAGGAGATATCCCAGGTCAAGTTCACACTTAGAAGGAGAAGGGGGCAGACCCATGGAGAAGACAAACAAGGAAGACAAAGTCACATGGTCACCACTGTCTTGGAGAGCACAGTGCACCAACCTGCCTGAGGAGTGTTTATATCCTGGCTGTCACCAAGCCCTGGAGATGCACTACTTTCAAACCCTGACCAGGGTTACAGTGATGGCCTTAAGGAATCCAGACCAGGTTTTATTGTACTGAGAAAGCATCTAATTCTTGGCTCCTAAAAAGATTGAATTTAGGCATAATAGTCGAGGTCATCCACATTAAAAGCAGGCTTCTTAAAATACAGTTTGAGAGACTGGGCAGTATCTGTGAATTGGAGAATAAAGCTATTTTTTTTATCTGCTTCTACCTTTCCTACTTGTGTGTGAAGTCGACTTTACATCTGTTGGTGTCTTGCATACAGTACCTGAAACTGAACATGACTGTAGGATGAAAAAAATTTATAAGCGCACTTGATTTTTGCCTTCAAGATTCTGCACAGCACTTTTGCCCTCCAAACTCCACATTACCTCTTACAAAGGAGTATTTAGAATCCTGGTGAATAGTCTTGACAGACAGTTCTTAGGAGTGATATCCTATTGTGCTGGCTGGCCAGTTTTCACTCTTCATAAAAAGGATCTTACACAAAGTCAGCCGTTTAAATATGAATACAGTGAGTCAGGAGGAGATGAAAGGACTGGAATTCCTGGTGAAATCGGTCAGGGGGTTTTCAGACTCCACATGTCCTGATAGTTTTATGTGATCCAGTCCAGCTCAAAAAAAAAAAAAAATCCTGCCAACAGGTAACAGGTCTTTGAAAGCATTTGAAACCAAGGCTCCCCACCAGCCAGCCCATCTCTCACTAAGTTCTCGGCCTCATTAAGAATGAGAAACAGATACTATGGCACCAATCTGTCTACAAGAACATAGCGAGACAAATGTAATTGTCTGTACAAGGAAGATAAATCAGCAACTCTCCAATCACTCATATTTACACCCTCTTCATTTTGGTTGTCTTTCCTTTATAATTTGCCCATACATCCATGCCAAGTATATAATTTCATCTGAGGCTTTATCAGTTACCGCCCAGAGCCATGATTATATGTTGCAGGGAAACTTCCTCCCCCTGAGCGAGTGAGTCTATCTTTAGTATCTTCTTGATAACCACTTCTTACATTAAAAAAATAAATAAATAAAAGGAAAGTCTGGGTTTTCTTATGTGGCTCCAGTCTCTAAATAGAACATTTAGGGGCAATTTATCAACCGCCACCATTGAGCTTTCAGCTGCCACTCCAACTGTTCAAAGCAAAGTGTTTCTGCTCGTTCCCTTTGTTATTTTTATCAAGTTGCAATGGAAATTGTAGGTGCTTCTATACTGAGACTTCGATCATCTTACATTTGACTTCCTTCTCTCTTATTGTTGACTGCAGCTTCATGGGGTAGGCCAGCAAGATGGGTAGTGATCTAATTCTTTTTTGCAAAGGAAATAAAACACAAGTCACCAGCAGTCACACACTGTAGCCAGTAATATGCTTCTTTTATTTTTGTACCTTTATCTTAAAAATATATTTAAACAAGAAACAAAGATAATATTGAATTTCCCCATAAACTTTGCTTTCTTATTTACAGTGTTCCAATGTAAATAACATTCCATTATACACACATTAAGACTGTGCATTACTAAACACTCTCTTTACATATTCTTTCATAATACAGTACACACGGCGCAAAGCTATGCAACACTTAAGCTTCAAACAGCTGAGGAAAGTACAAACTTTATCAATAAGACTATTACTTTAAAGGTTCGGACCTTAATTCTCCACTAGACTGTTTCACTGAAACCATTCTTTGTTCAAGGAAAAATGCCCTGTATGAGGGATGAAAACAACAGTTTAAGTTACCACACCATCCACTTAAACTGACACCATATTACTGATTACCGTTATTAAATGGACTGAAATGAAGGTCAAGTCATTTAAACAAGTAGATTCACTCTTCACCATAGTTGATACCTTTTTATGAAATGAAGTTTTCCACAAATTTAGGCTTTACTTGTAAACAGTTAAAGCACACATTTTTGTAAAGATCTGATCAGTGTCTGTCATAGGTTACACTTGAGGAGATCCTAGCCATCAGGGAGAAGCAATCACACAAACTGCACACGGATACACACCCACACATGCTCCTGCTCATCCATCAAAGACTCGTGTCAACCAGCACTAAGTATAGCAGCACTTTGTGTCCCAAGCAGTGCCCGAGGTTGCAATAGGAATTACAAAACAAAGATAAAACACCCCATTTCCATTAAATAGCCCAAAGCACAGGTTTTGAAATGCCTCTCAGACACTTCAAATTCAGCCTGGAGTCAGTTGACTGGGCTCTCTAGGCGACAAACTCCACCTTCGATTGCAACTGACTGTCCTGCCACAGCACCAGGAGGGAGTCTTGAAATGTGAGTCTGCAAAGAAAGAGAAAGAGTGTCAGAGGGGCAAGCAAAGGTCCTGCATCTAACAAATGTGAAGCCAACTCAGGAACACCGTGTCTTCACTTTGCTTCTCAGTGTCCACTGGAGGTGATGGTAGCAACATTCGGGAGTGGCAGGCCCTGTTGTTTTAAATTGCTCAATGATGTTCATTTGTCTGGGCATCTGCTACAAGCAAGCACAGCACCAGGTCATAGTGATGCAAAGCTAATGGAGACACCAATACCTCAACAGCACAGAATATTCTGGATTTCTCAAGAGTGGTTCTGATGACAACTACATAGAGCACATTCCAGCTGCCTAAAAACAGGTCAGCTGTATACATTTTATCCTCTAAATTCACCACAAAATAATAGTAATAATAATAATAATAAATAATGAGAATACTGATCTTCAGATGTCATTTATTCTTTCAGTGCCTAAAGTAGCTTATAAAAGCTTAGATAGTCAAAAGCAAATAAGGAAATAACATAAAATAACAGTGAAAATTTAGTAAGGGAAAAACAGGATTACTGACAACACAAAATTGAGGCTAAAGAGGTCTGTCCTGGAGTCCGACTGCGCCTGTGCTGCATGGCTTCCTTGTGGTTTATGTGGTGTACTGGATCACAGCCTGTCAATTGCTCAGGTTGAGAACATCTATTTCTGTCACTGAAGCTAGGTGGCATTTCTCCTGGGGACTATCATAAATAGGTCACTGACTAAAGAGGCTAAGAGAAGACATCTGTGTACTATATAGTAGGGGTCTGTATAAGCTGAGCATTGCACCACCACTTAAAGTATGCTGGGACCCAAGAAAAGACAGTAAATACTGCTACAAAGGGTCAGGAAAACTATTCCTCTTTTAGCCTCTTTTACATAATCAAGGGAACAAATTAATGTGTGTGGGGTGCATAATCTTCAGTTACTACTCTCTAATTCTTCCTCTAAATAAACTTAGCCTAAGGACTAAAGCAAAGTGAGTTCAAGGCCATAGGATGAGGTTGTTAGTTGAAGCTGGTAAACTGGCCAAGGGCAGGACCGACAGGCTTTCATGAATCAAAAATGATGCAAGCATGTATTTTAGATTGAATAGTAAGCTTGTTGGTTCTTTGACTAAGTTCAACAAGAAGAGCTGAAATTAAACAACCTTGGTGTAGAGAATCAGGAATGTCAAGTACGGAGACAACCTGACATGTCCAGGAATAAGCAAGTTGACTCTGGAGTGTGAAGCTGGGTAAGGCAGGTCTTATCCACGTAGTAATCCCTGATGTTACTTCCCAGACTTAAGCTTCTGGGAGCCAAATCAAAGAGTCTGATCTTACTATTATACCTGGGAGGCCAGCTTAGTCTTATCACATGGGTATATCATTCCCGAGATAAGCTTTTTATGAAGCTTCTTTGGTCACTGAAGAATAACTAGTAGGAGGGGGAGAGTTTGTCCTTGCTACTCAGTGACCTATATCACACTAAGCACAAAAAGCTCAACTCTCACAAGTCCCAATGTTCAGTATTGATAAGAACATTCATCAGGAGATGACACTCCCCCCCATGGGTGTCACCTATTAACTTAAGGTCTTAAACAAAAAGGATCCCAAGAAATGAATCCAACGAATTTTATTCCTGTTTACCGCCTACAGTCATCAACACAGGCATAAAGCAGAAGCACCATGGAAGACTGTGGTAGGCTCTAAAACCTTAAAGGATGATCTAAGAACTCCACTACTGGGTATACAAGCTCCCCTCATAAAGTGGAAGTACTAATTTAGATATCTGCACAATGTATACAAATTAATGTTCAACCTTCACAGCAGCATTGTTCCCAATAGACTCAAGGTGGAAGCAGGTCAAACGGCTATCACTGGCGAACAAAGTGTGGAATGTGCACATACAATATTACTTATCCTTAAAAAGGCAGGGACATGACTGAACCTTGAAGACATTATCTTAAGTAAAATAGGCCAGATAGTAGATATCAAAGAACTAAGATAGTAGGTTCTACTAATAAGTGCCACTTAATAATTAAATTCGTTAAGTATTAAAAGTTAGAATACCAGCTGCCAGCGACTGAGAGAAGGGAATGGGGTGTGGTAGGGTGATGTGAAATGGGTATAGATTTCCAGTTTGGGAAGATGAAAAAGTTCTGGAGATGGATGTGTTGACAATTCCTAACAGTGTGGATTATCTAGTGCTTGATGAAACTGATTCAAATGATAAATTCTGTGTTATGTATAGTTCACAGTAACCACACACAGACACAGAGAAAGGAGCAAGAGAGAGGGGGAGGGAGGGAGAGGGGGAGGTAAAGGAAAAGGGGGAGGAACAGAAAGAGAGGGAGAGGGGGAGAGAGGGAGAGAGAGAGGGAAAGAGAGAGGGAAGGAGGGAGAGAGAGAGAGAGGAAGAGAGAGAGAGGGAGGGAGGGAGGGAAGGAGGGAGAGACAGAGAGAGAGAGGAAGAGAGAGAGAGAGAGAGGGAGAGAGAGAGAGAGAGAGAGAGAGAGAGAGAGAGAGAGAGAGAGAGAGAGAGAGAGAGAGAGAGAGAGAGAGAGAGAGAGAGAGAGAGCACAGAAATGATCATTGATCGTTTCTTAGCTAGAGTAGCTGTCCACAAGGGGCCATGCTGGCTACTTTTATGCCAATCTAACACAGGCTAGATTCATCCAAAAGGAGGGAACTTCAATTGAGAAAATGCCACCATAAGACCCAGCCGTAAGGCATTTTCTTAATTAGTGATTTGTGGGAGAGGACCCAGATCATTATGGGTAGTGCTATTCCTGGGTTTCTGGTCTTGTGTTCTATAAGAAAGCAGGCTGAGCAAGTCATGATAAGCAAGCCAGTAAGCAGAACCTCTCCCTGGCCTCCCCATCAGCTTCTGCTTCCAGGTTCCTGACCTGCTTGAGTCCCTGCGCTAACTGCCTTTGATGATGAACAGTGATGTGGAGTGTAAGCCAAATAAATCCATTCCCCCTGCTTTTGGTTATGGTGTTTCATTGCAGCAACATTAACTCTAACTAAACCCTAAGACAGGGACTAAGAAGGAATTAACTTATGATGTGGTTCTCTAAAGGAGAAAGATACATTCACTACGTCCATTCACAGACTGGAATAGTTTAAATAGGTTAGTTCAAAAAGAGAGAGGCTTACAGGAAAATCTGTCCCCAGACTTCCTAGAGAATTGTACAAAATCCACTGGGATACCAGGCTTAAGAGAATGTATTAATTGATGTCGTTAAAGAATGACAATATAGTCAAACAGCCTAGAAACTGAATTGGGCATGTCAGGTCTTAAAGGAACAGATTTCCTGTTGACCAAGATAAAGATCCTGAACTTGAAGGAGCAAAATCCTTTATTGTGGGCACTGTGGGACTTGATGTAACCCTGTGCTTCGAAAAGCATACATGGCCAGTCTAAAGTCCTGGGAATACTACCACTCCAACACAAAGTTTATGACAGCAGAACACATTAAAAAGCCAAGTTAAGCCACAAAGTTAGGAAAGTTAGGGAGGTAAAAAGGGGTAGGAGAAGAAAGTTCTGGAGCTTTTCAGTAATAGCACATGAGCAAAGTGCTACAAATACACAGCTGGATGTCTATAAATTGAGCTACTTGTACATAATAGAAATACTCAACCAGATAAAGTAGTTAAACTAGTAAACTTGACTCAAAATTTTTAACTTGGTTTTTTTTTTTTTTGGTTTTTACGGGACAGGGTTTCTCTGTATTGTTTTGGAGGTTGTCGGTCCAGTCTGGCCTCGAACTCACAGAGATCTGCCTGCCTCTGCCTCCTGGGTGCTGGGATTAAAGGCATGCGCCACCACCGCCCACCAAAAATTTTAACTTTTTAAAAGCCTCTTTTCCTTAAACCACTACTTAGCTCAGGAAAATTTGTGATTACACTGAATTATTTTCAGCCAGGCAGTGGTGGTACACACCTTCAATCCCAGTACTCAGGAGACAGAGGCAGGCAATCTCTGTGAGTTCCATGGCAACCAGAGCTGTTACACAGGGAAACCCTGTCTCAAAAATTTTTTTTCAAATGATATTGATATTATGGGTAGTAAAATTCTATTAATGCCAATAATTTGCCAGTTTCACCCATCAGCATGATCTTCGCAGACAATAAGTGATTTTATTCTGAAAGTTTGTCTATTTACACTCAAAGCTTTCAGTGCATGTTTCACATCCTAGAAACAATACAAGCTGTTATATGTCCTATCAATCATTATATGAGAGTGTATTTCCAAGCTTCTTGCAGTGTGTCTGAAACTCTCAATGCTCCAAGTAGTCCATTTTCTACAGTGACATGGCACTTCTCGGGCAATGTGGTGGACATAACTATAATCCTAGGATTTTGGAGGTGAGGAAGAAAAGCATCAGGAAGATCAAGTTGAGGGAAAAATAGAGAAAGAGCAAGAAAGGAGATACTTGAGGGAGCCATTATAGGTTTAAAGAGAAATCCAGCACTAGTGAAATGTCCAAGGATCCACAAGGATGACCCCAACTAAGACTCTAAGCAATAGTAGAGAGGCTACCTTATAATGAGATTGATGACTACCTTACATGCCATCCTAGAGCCTTTACCCAGTAGCTGATGGAAGCAGAAGCAGAGGAGCACTGAGCTTAACTCCTGGAATCCAGTTGTAGAGAGGGAGGTGTGATGAACAAAGGGGTCAAGACTATGCTGGTGAAACCCACAGAAACAACTGACCTGAGCAAGTTAAGTTCACAGACCCCAGTCTGATAGCTGGGGAACCAGCATAGGACTGAACCAAGCCCCCAGAACGTGTGTCAGCTGGGAGGCCTGGGCAGTCTATGGGGCCTCTAGCAGTGGAACCAATATTTATCCCTAGTTGCACAAATGGATTTTGGGAGCCCATTCCCTATGGAGGGATACTCTCTCAGTCCAGACATGGGAGAGGGCCTAGGCCCTGCTGGAAAAGATGTGACAGACTTTGATGAACCCCCATGAGAGGCCTCACCCTCCCTGGGGACTGGATAG